CAACCATACTTAATTAATATGTTCAAATAGAAAGCACATTTCGGAATTTCGGCCGACATTTAATGAGATAGAAAATGTACTCTACGTGCTTGCAACGCACCAGAACACCTTTAAATAAGAGGTCACTCACAAGTGTAATATTCCAACCGACAAGTCTATTGCGATATTGGGGTATTTTTCGTCGTACGTATTCGCCCTGTTCACCGAAGACCACACGGATACATCTCACAGTTTTCTGTGTGGTCACTTATCCGGATTGAGGAATCTGTGGAGTGACCGTTATCACTTTACTTGTTTTATCTCATGTTATCAGCCCGGAATTGGCAAAAAATACTGTTAACTTGGGAGAGCTTAAATACTGCAATCGCTTTGAAGTCACAGAAGAATTGTTCCTGCATTCCTATCAGGATACTCTACCTGAACCTACGGTTCTACTTGAACGAGGTGTGCGATCCGTGCATGTCTGGGTTTCTAATATCTAGAATAAATCTCGTTTCTGTTGAAAGAGAGAAATGTTGGCAGCCAAAAAAACGGGTTGCACTATGTCACTAGACTGTCCAATGGTTCACATTAGAAAACTACTGATATGCAATTTTTTCGTCCTAAAATGCCGCAGAGAAAGAAGCGACCTTGTCTGATATAGTTCTGGTAAATGTACTCACGTATACGCAAATGAAGCTGGCTGATTATGGTTTCGTTGATCCTGAACTATTAGTCGTCAATAAGTAGCCGTACAAGCAGTCTTTTACCTACACGTACAAGAGGCTATGGTAATGACCCGTACTGTAGCATACTGTAAAAAAGCCTTGTTGAGCGCATAAACAATATGTCAATATCAACATTTCCACCAACCATCATAACAGAATTCCATTTTCTTAGGAACAAAATTGCCTATCATTTCCCTTTTCTCACATTCATTTGAATATTGCATCAGGGCATACACTAGACAGAATGATTTAATTCTTTTTTCCTGTTTATTCAACTGCGGTGCTTACCAAATGAACTTAATGGGATATTACTTCAGATGTGACCAGAAATTTGCATTCAACAGAAGACATAGTAAGACCATTCTGTTTCCTTGGTGGCCACCTGCCGACCGCTAAGGAGTATTTGGATTCAAACCGTATACTACCAAACCTCTCCATCTTGCTCCTCCACCTCACCAAGTAAAGATGCTATGCAAAAGAACGAAACAACCACTGATTCTACAGTATATCGTGTTTGTTTTAATTTCGTAGCAATGCTGAAAACATCAGCTGAAGGCTTACTATTCCCTGCTAAGAATGTAAGCAGACTACTCGTCAGTTCATTACTCCTGTCCTCTGTTTGACTTCTATTACTTGGGAGCCATCCAAGTTTATGTGGATGCCAGTGAAGTTAACTGCACTGCAAAAACGGATGGGTGGGCCTAAAATTCCAGTGGGTACCGTATTAATCTTTGTGTTGCACGTACCGGATTTCAGGAGAAGAACGGTATCCACAATGGACTTATGGTCTGCATTTAAATAAGTGTTAGTTGCTGCTCGAAAATTTCCATCGATACCAGCATAGAAGAATACCTGGCGAGCGTACGTGGCTTTCGATAAATTCTCCTCGGGCCATTACATTTATATAGGGAGGGGGTAAAAGGTAATATGCTCGCCAGCTATTCTTCTGAATCCTCTGATAGGAATTTTTGCAACTGTAAAACAGTCCAAGGATGCCAATTTAGTTGCTTTCGAGACGTTGGAAAAATTTCCATAATCTTTTAATCCTCTAAACAGGGTACTGGAATAGGACCGTCTCGCCAAAGTAATAAAATCGGCCCTGTGCATAATTCAAGGAAGGCAAAGTATTTGTGAGCCCTATCCCTGTAAGTAGCTCTAGAATAAATATAAGCCGTAACCCTAACCTTAGCCCTAACTCTGCATTTAACACTAGCCCGAATCTAAACCGTAAACATACATCTGGCCATAATCATAAACATAAGCCTAACCCTTCTTCCTCTCGAATTGGGCGCAAAGCTACCTGTATTGCGGATGGTTCCTCTTCTCGTGTCCTGTTCGGGAGCCATATCAATAATACTTATCCCGTATGGCTCGGGGAATTCCCTCAGATCTGCACATTCCATTGTTCTTTGAGTTTTAAGAGTTCTCCTACTGAAGCATACCCGCTAATTATCAGTCTCTCCACACCACAATAACTGATCACGCAAAAACACTAAAATCCGCTGGTATTTTACTTACGGCTTATGTAGCGTGGTGCATAAATGTCGAAGGAATGCCTGTATTTACTTTAATTTTCAATTCGTGCAGTTTTAGTCATTTTGCCAATGTGAAAGTCCACTTAGTTATTCCGATGCAAACTGTATTTGTGGGTCCATCTATGGACATCATCGGGAGTGTACTTGCTTGATAAGACTGACTTACCGTTCCTGGTCAAATATAAAGAGATAAACCATCGCCCGAAAGCAAGCATCTTCAGAAGGAAACGAAACAAAGACGAGTGAGACTTTAACTGACATTTGGACATCTTGAGAGCGCTTTTCAGCTGCTTCCGCTCTGTGCATGAACAACGAAATATTTAGGGAACACATCAATTTGAATTTACACAAAATCGATAAAAACAAGGTTGTATCAACGTGGCAAGTGGTCTGGAAAATAAAAAGTTGCGAGGCATTAACTTGATAGATACTTCAACTGCTCTTAATCTGAAACCTAGAGGTACG